ATACATAATATGTACATACATACATATATATATAGGTACAATAAGCTATAGACGACACTGTATGCATGATATACACACATCACAGACATATCACGAACGTGCACATATAACACGAAACTGCATAAAGCATGATTAAAGGTAAGGTAGATGCCATAGACCAGATGGTACGCATGGCGTATATACATCAAAGACATATCCAGATGTGATCCACAATGGAATACTTGGTATCAATATTTATTAAAGGCTTGTAAGTCGAGAATGTTTTATTTGATATTCGAAGTCGGCAACGACACATGGACGCACGGAGGAAGTGTGTGGGATGTTACGAGTGGAATATGATGGATTGTTCTTGGCAGTGTGATATGCGTGTCATAAAAAACTGAATAAAGATCTAACGTGCGAGCCTCTGGACACTGCCACATAGATACACGCATGAGTTAAGTGGTCTCAAATCGACTAGTAGCACTCATCGAGACATCACATTGCAGAGCACTATTAGTGATTCCAATCTTCGTAATTTTTATGACACTTTAAGTTAACAGAATCGGAGGATATGTTAGGCAAAAGTTATACCGCATACACAGCATATACCAATAGATGCCAACAGTAACGCTAAAGGGAAAGTACCTTGATAGTTCGCATCTTTCAAATCTGAGCCAGCAATGTAACACAAATGCCACACACAAGGAAATATATGTGACATTTTCAACAGTGCAGTATATATAGATATATAGTATTCGAGGTGACATAGTTCAATGTAGTATATAGTACTACGTATATTCTGGTTTCATTGCCAACATGATACGGTCTTTAATCTTTATATCGATCGTGATCCCTACATAGGTGGCGTTTCGTTGTTGATATTGTTATTGTCAACATATCCAAAAAATATACGTTTGCGTCAAACGTTTACAAATAGTCCGGTTGTCGTTCGTACATAGCCCTGACAGGCTGACACTCTGACTGTCTGACAGGCCTGACTGCTGGTTGAAGAACTTTTTTATACTTTGTTTTTTCTATAAACAATATATATCAAAAGTAACGTTTTGTCTAGTTTAGAAGGCTATGAACGTTTCAACATAAATTGCCTTCTAAAATAAATAGTACCCAAATTTTATTAAAAACAAAATAAAAAACAAATTGGATCCATAGACTGAAGATAAAAAATTTGTATTTATTTTTAAAAATGTACCTTTTCTTTCGTTAAAATAAATATAAAATATAGAATTCTTCCTATTAAAAAAGTCTCAGAGACAGTCCGAGACTCCGAGTTCCAGACTTCCAGCAGCTGCCTATGGCAAAATTTCCCCTGGGCCCAACAGGCATCAGGGGTGACTGGGTGACCAGGCAGTTCAGGCACCCAGCTGCCAGCGTCCCAACCCGCTGAGGCGGCCAGGCCCCAAGTGGTATATAAATTGTACTCTAAAAAAACAAAGGAGCTATATACAATTATACATACTGTAATAAATTACATTCACTTTGAAAAGATTTAGAGCACATGGAAGGAATCCGAAGGCCCAAGGATGGCATTCGAGTGATGAGAAAGCCCTCGAAAAGCTTTAGTTGACTGGTTTCCAATGAATCTGTTAACAGTCGTTACTCACTTTTCTTTCCATAAGTTTCGATCGTCCAAAACCGGTTTTTTTTATGTGCGAGTGTTATATATTATACATTACACTGTAAAAACCTGTTCTGGTATACGACAAAGACACGTCTTCTAAACAAACTAATTTCCGACTCATCGATATGACTTCAAAAGATAGTATCATGACGTATATTAGACTTCTGACTGTATTAAAAGATATGTCGGCTGGACATGTCGTCAAAAGCGAAGTAGTTTACGACGGTCTATTAACAGCATGTCTTTATTGTGGAAGTGCTGTCTGAAATAAAAACCAGCCCAGGTCAAAACCGTACACACTGATTTGTTTTTTTTTAATTAAAACACTACTGTTTACGTCTCTCTCTCTCGCGGCTCACGCACTCTCGCGGCTGTGCCCTGACTGCAGTGACTGGCTGACTGCCCTCGCTTATTGCAGTTTATGTATTTACGCTAATCCGCTGTGCGGAAAGAGTAAAGACGCAGGGCCCAGGCCGCAGGCGTTGGCGGACCAAAGTTCCAGCAAAATTTTGGGCGCATAATTCCTCACACAGTCTAGTATTTTTATATATAAATAAATATTTGCGGGAGGCCGGGAGCCTAAAACCAAAAATAACTAGCACATTTAAACGACCGAACCGCCTATAAATCATCAATCACAATTCACAATTTCACGAATGTGTGTGAAACTGCGAATGACTGAAATGTAAATAGAGGAGTCAGGGGACGGATCCCAGAGTTAATATGTATAAATAGTAATTTTATTTGTAAAATATTTTTTTTGTTGAGACGTGAGTTCAACTGAGTTGTATCCCAAGAACTCGTGACTCGTGACTCGTGGGTCTGTAATTAGTCTGTACTGTCTGTAAAATGTAAATATTTATGTACTGTACATATTTACATGTTCCAAAATACGTACGGTCCCAAATTTGGGGGCAATAGGGAGGGGAGGTTAAAAAAAATAAAAAGAAGTAAGTACGTGTTCCATAGCCTCCTGAATCATACATAAATATTTAAAAATAGTAATTTAAAAAAAAGTGCCATCTATTTCGATACATATTCTATGTACGAGCATAAAATACTTCTTTAATTAAAAAAAACTCCCCGGGAGCACATACGACATCAATATCGACGATATTAATAAGTGGATGTCAAACCGTTGCTACTTATAATAGCTACTGCACTGTACACGGAATTTCGAATCATTCATACATACTGGAACAGCTGAGCAAATCCAGACCACTAATACACCATGTCGGCTGCATCCACCTTCTTACAGAAATTACTAACTATGATAGAACATCCTGATAGTGACCAGTATATCTCCTGGTGCCCTAACGGCACTTCGTTCATTGTATATGATTCGATCGCTTTAGCAAAATATGTACTTCCGCAATACTTTCGTCACAACAAATTCACAAGCTTTGTACGACAATTGAATATGTACGATTTCCATAAGGCGAGTATTTAATTGTGGGTACTGCGTGTAAATAAGATCATCCGTGATTTATGACCAGTGTTTTTGTCGACAAGTGCAACTTGAGAAAATGTCAGCTGCCTATCTGCTCTCCCAGAACACTGACTTAATTTATGGTCTTCTCTTCATGCAGATACCATTAAGCGATACCGGTATTGAGCCGAATGAGAACGCGGTGCAATTCAAAAACCTTAACTTCTTGCGTGGTCAACCCCATTTGTTCGCTAACATGAGGAGGAAAGCAAGCTCGCGCAATGAGAAAGTGAACTCTGTGGTTGGTGATAAAGAATACATCGATAATGCTTTGGCTAACTTGGCCCAAGCAGGGAGTAACATGTCCAAAAGACTCAATGATGTAGAGTCTGATAGTACATACATCAAAGACGAACTTAGCAAGCTATATCAGAGTAATTATCAACAAGAGCACACCGTCAATCGGATCATGGGGTTCCTGACGTCAGTATATGGACCCAATACCGAAAATAACATTCCCACATTGAACACAAATCAAAATGTACATCAAATCCAATACGGTCGCTCCCCGAATGATTCACCCCTGGTATGTCACAACCACTGGTAGAATGCTCAGTATGTTACAGTGCCTATAAGATATCGTCGTTAATTGCCTCATGTTCTGAATATAGCCAACCGATAGTCACGATATGAAATGAATTAATCATTTATGTACTTCTTGTTATTTGAACAGATCTTCTCAAACGTAGACAAGACATCTGGTAACTTCCAATCTTCTACCAGCTCTCGGCGGAGCTGGGTGCAGTGAAATCATAACTTCTAAAATTATAACTATTATATGCGGCGACGTAGGCACAGCGAGTGATATCACGTCGTTCCCTATTTCGTCTATTACCGCATGACGGTTGAATATAGCCGTGAATTGTGCATCTGGCATGACCATCGGTCTTCGGTCTTTTGTCACAGGAGTCAAACAATGCTCCCCACCTAATATATAGGAGAATACTGCGTGAAGAAGGGAGTTCTAAGATATCTCGTGCTTATTTATCGAAACCTTTTAGAGCTTTGGTTGTGAAGTCCGACTACCTTTGGTCAAGCATTAGTTGCGCTCATTATATAGCGCCCGACAACGCAGCCAAGACCACTTCATACGAAGGAATCCATATAAGAGGGAATGTCAGCTTTCCGCCTGTGTTGTCATACCGAGAACACTGGAAGGGTACTTTGATAATGCCTAGAAAGTGCTTATATATCGACATAGTGAATCCGACATGGCTCAACCAGAGCAGGATGGGTTTGTAGCTCCAAGTACTCGTGTTGAGCAAATCCACTACCGATCTGAAATGACAGAGAGACAATACGTACATAAACAGATAAAGTTGTTCGTTGCTGCACTCGAAACAGTTGAAACATAATTTCTATATTGGTGGCAAAAAAAACCATTCAAGCAGTGGTACGGCGTGAATTTAGAAAGCGTGAATTTAGCAGTAACATACATAGCTATAGTGGCAGATTTTAAGCAGATCTAGAGAATTATAGCCTTCTTCTGTATAATTTAGAAGGCTATGGAAATAATAACCATTGAAGCAGCGCTATAAAAAATATATAAAAATCATTGTACAAAAAGTCAAAAACTGTGTGAAGTTGTGAACTGTGAACTTGTGAAGCAGTGAAGGGACTCAACAAGGGTGTGAAGGCGATTGTTCCGCCGCGGCGAATGATATTGTGCCATTTTGTTGACGTGTTTTAAAAACTATAAATAGACTCCGTGGTTGACCTATTTGGTTGGCGTATGTAATATAGTAAATATATGAATCTACTATAAATAGCCACAGATCAGTAATCACTAAATCGATACGTATACCAGTTACCACTGCATGTACGGTATTTTTTAAAACCATACGGCCATACGGTACACGCTCTACGTGTGTATTGAATATTATACGCACATTCAATGCGTTGTATGTCTATCCATGTACCCGTTTATACGTATACGTATGTATTACTGTGCATAGCATAGGTTTCTTTCTACCGTCAGTGCAATAGATCGAGTATAGGCGTGACCCTTGTCGATATACAACGAGATCTCGTCGAACACCTGTACTATAAAGGTAATGGACGTCGAAAGTAATAGTGCGAGCAGCGGCAACGAATCCGATTATAGCTCTGATGAAGTGTTCGTTGATGCGCGTATGTCCGTAGACGATACAGATACCTCAGATAGCGTATTCAACAAGCCTGAGTCATCTTCTCAGTTAGAGGTACGAATAGGCCCTCAGGACGGTAGACAACAAAGTATAAACCAAGGTATAAATCAAGGTAGAGAACAAAGTCCTCGTGGCGAACCAAGTACACAACAGACACATAGAAACACTCCGGATACTTCGAGCGTTATACATCCCATAAAACTTGGAAGACAAGTGAACATTCCACTACATTCCAGTACAAATACACCCGAGGAGTTCTATAGTAAAGGGAAACGAGCCAGAATGAGTGATGCGGAGGCCAGCACGGGCCAAGCACATGCAATTGAATCAGACACGCACATAAATGCAGATATATTACATGATAATACTAGCGACAAAGGTATGCAAGAGACTAAGAGTCAAGATACAAATACGAATGGCAATACAAATATCAGCGCAGGTACAACCACGGACGCTACACCCAGCGTTGAGGTTTCGGATGCGAATGTGAATGAGAATGGGAATGCGAATGCGAACGTACCCATGAGCACCTCTGGTGATGTAGAAGTGCAGACGAGTGAAAAGGCTGGGAAGAGCACGTCTACTACTACACCAGAGTACTTTAATGTTATAGGGTCAGGCACCAATACGGCCGGCACGGATACTGCTGCTGCTAACAGCGCTACTACTGCTAAGGAGAGCAAGTTGGCCTATGCAGGCCAGGTATGTAGTTGTTTCGTTTTTTTGGGATTGGATATAATGTTATGCGGGAAACGCCTACCTGTTGTTTTACCTCTCGAACTGTAGTATATTCTTAGTTTGGTAAACCGGCCTGGTCTATGCTGAACGCTGTTTAATCTTGGATTGAATGTAATTCGGTTACAACTGGCCTAGTTCACACTTACATGTATCTATTTATGGTTTAAGACAAGTATGTACACGTATTGTGTATGTACTGATTGTAAGAACGATAGTAGAGTGAATGCATGCATACACGTCACTATACGTGCTTACATAATCAAATTCCTGTATATCAATTTGTATGTGCAGATCACAGGTACGATAAGCTTCACCTACGTACCGTCCCTCACTCTTCTCGGTATGCATACATACCTATCTTCTACCATTCGCCATCTTAATATAGATCTCCTCGTATCCACGTGCATGATTATATCCGTTCACGGGTTGTAACGTACATACATTTGTATCACGAACCTATCACAGATCGCAGGCACCATCGCGTCGCATGGTTACACCACACTCTCCATGGCATCATCTGCGGCCGGTCGCTTGTACTCGTACGCAACAACACCCTCACCCACACAACCCATCAATACTGGGCTAAACGAAGAACAAGACCTACAACTCCAGAAGATCCTGGACGGGTGGGATGCCGTAGATGGCGATAAAGTGCATGAGGAGATCAAGGATAGACTGGTTGTGGCTGTTATGGGCCGAGTATCGGCAGGTAGGTGTATCACCTGTGTTGTATATAGGCTGTGTTAGAGTAAATATGCATATATT